GATTCGGCTGTGGTTCAAATTTTCATCTCACTTTCCATCATCACCCAGTACAAAATACTAGTCTGCCATAAAACTTGGCGATCTCACATAGTCGAATGATAACTGCATCTTTGTTTATCGAATCAACGCCTAATATATGCAGCAGACATGACTCTACACCTGCTTCGGATACATGGAAAGCCTCACTACCCATATCACACAGGGAGCGAGGAATTTAGGACTAAATAAAGCATGTCACAAAGTTGTGTAATTATCTTGATATGAGTGTGTACAATAAATTACGTCCGAAACGTAATTCAGTAAACAACATTATTCCACTGTGTCACACTTCTAGTAAATCAACTAAAATGGAATGGCAGAATATTGACCACTTATTCTGAGTTCCACCTTCCTGCGTTCCATAGCAATTTATCATCGCATTAATCATTCCTTGGTGCATTTAACTTTGATCGCTAGGTTACTTTACCACCAAATTTTTGCTGTCGTCTCTTTTTCATCTTCATTGATATTTAGACCTTTAATGTGAGCTTCCCATTGACGCGGTAATTATTTTCCTACCACTTAACTTCGCCAGTCAATAGAGGGTGTAGTGAAAAGAAGGTCAGTTCTATTTGTCTCCACAATATATATTTCATAGAATATCCTTGAAATGCTCTTGTCCGGCATTCGTGCACGCCAAGTTTCTAGTAGGTTTCTGAACAGTAACTTGGTGGTTGTTAACCCACAATCATCCCTGCAATTCTCTGCTTCATGACGACAATTCTTGGACCAGGAAGTGATGGGAGTTGAATTGGACAGCATAAGGCCACTGCTAATATCCAGCATTGCTGCATTCAATGTTGTCGACTTCGCCTATGCACACTATGGTAAACGACCGAATGATCAATATGTGCTCAATGTGTGTTATCGTCTCTTCCCTCAGTGTGAGTTGACCGGTATATGAATTTTCTCATGAAAGCATTTTGTTGTAGACAGTTGGGAAACATTGCAGGAATACATACTCAGTCAAACTGGATTGGCATCCTTCTCTGTCACAGAGGATGGAGATGTGAAATACTCTTATTCGCCACAGGGGACCAGCTGAAAATTGCTGAAAATTTTCTCGGTCTCGTTGGCACGAACAGACTAAACTGAAACAGGTTGACTGTCATCTCTTCCATAAGGAAATTTGTAGTATAAATGTTGAACTTGTAATCTGATGTTAGACTTCAATTGATACAAATGAATTCTTATAAGGAAAACTTGAATGAGAAGTGATTTCCTTCTAAGTGAAATATATTAAATTGGAACACTGGTTTCATGTGACTAATTATTATGCCTAGCTAGTTTTGTTGTGTTCTGTGTGCAGTGAAATGTATCAGGTTATTCTGAAGACTTTGAAAAATTCAAAAGTAAGACACAGGCAATGCTAGGAAGCATGTGTGCACATATATGTAACCTGTGTAATTAATTCATTGTGAATTACATAGATGGAAAACCATATCACACAACCAACTTCCTTGACTTCGTATTCCATCACACTGTTGTCATATAGGGCAGTTGAAATATAATACTGGAAGTCCATGGCTTCCCAGTAACTGCTCATGCAGCTGTTGAAGCAGTCATCTATTTCTGGAGATCAGTGAACAGTTCTAAAATGACTATACTTCAGGCTTCACTGCCTCATCAGCTCTAAGCAACTACTTCATATCTATTTCCTGCCGTTACTTAGTTGAATGGCAAACAGAGATGGTGTACATAATTAAGTGCATCACCTAGGAATGATTGTTTGCTTTAAAAGCTAACAGGCGAAAAATTCCACCTACCTAACGAAAAATGATTTCGGTATGTAGATTTAGAATTCGTTCTTGTTTATACTTACATGTCTTGCTGATGAATTGCAACAAGCACTGAATCTGAGTCGATCACAGCTTCTTAAAATGTGATTGTACATCAGAAATGTGGGCACCTCTTATATCAGCATATCCAGAAAATGGTTGGTAGAAAAGTTTTTTGACGAATTAGAAGGACGTCTGTGTAATCGTATAGAAAAATGAAATACAGAGTGAATCATCTAGCTTTGACTAATTTCCCATGACTTCCTACTTAAGAAGTAGGTGAATCATGTATAAAAGAAACCTCATGAATAGGAAAGACAATGAGGTATAAAACTGATAGATTAGTTATAAACACACACACACACTATTTGTAAAGAATGCACTACAACAAGTTGAGCTCCGAGTTTCTTTTCATCATTATCGAACTATGCTGTAACGTAGTCTAGCCATTTTCGAATTTCTTACGGATAAGGCTGTGACTTCTATGGTGAAATATTCAGAGAAACTTTGTTTCCATTTTGTCAACACACTGGTATAACAGCACGATGTATTCTTATAACAATAGTCTATCGGTGCCCACGAACAAGCTATTATAAATACACTTTTCATGAAAAATGTACAAACATTGATGAGCTTTTATTTTGGTAATATATAGAGCAAAATATTGTTAAAATATTCCCACTTTTGGTTCAGTCATAGGCAGTAATTCTGTTTGGATAATTACCAAAATAGGAACTTATCTTATCATTGATATTTTTAATATTTTGATATTTCTGGAGAGCTCATCTACAGTTATAAATTACACTACATACATTTTGAAAATCGCTCCCTTAAATATATGACAAACTTGTCACTCACTTGTCACAATAAAATATCATCTACAAACTATAAATTTATTTAGAATTTAACTTCAACTGGATGGATATTTACTTGTCAAAGTGATCGCATCTGATAAATGAACATGATTTTCCAAGCTAATTTAAGCAGAAATGTACTGATGACCAAGTTCTTCAAATCATCCAGTCCATTGTTGGTCCGGATATGTTCAAACTAAGCACAAATAGCTCCTGTGGGCTCAACTAATCATATTCCAACAAATAATTGTTCTAGTCCAATAGGAATGTCTCCTGGCTACACAAACACATTGTCTTTTAAACAGAGGTACCAACCAATCACAAATCCTTTCCAATTGTTTTCCTCCAACTCAAGTACATTAGGGGGGAAAGTGGACCGGTTATTAAAGGTCAACCAAACTCATGAAAATATTTGTGTGTGTGTGTGTGTGAATGTAAACAAAGGTGTTGCAGTCATCATTGTAAACGAAGCTGATGAGATTCTGATTGGTTTATTTATATTTCACTTCTTTGTTTCCACTGAATTCAGTTTGTATAAATAGTTGATTGATACGTCGTGTAAACAATTAACCAGTATCACTTCAATCCACTGAAGTAAGTTCAGTTTTCTAACTGATATTCATGATATACTATAAATGCGTGAGACATTGTTTCTGAATTCTTCTCCATATGTTTTAGACTAGGATAGGTTAGTGAACTGAAGTTCTGGTTGAATGAGTCTAGTAAAAAAAGTATTTGTCAATATACTACATGTTCCAACCAGTTGTCAGCTGAGGAAATTTGAGCAACTAGTGACTACTGTTAGCCAATGAACAACACATTTGACTCCAAACTTGTGTCAACTTGCTAATCTGGTGGTCATTGCTAACACTGCGTACTAATCCTCCTCTAGTCTAATCTCTAGAGAAAAGATGAAACTCCTAGTCATTCACTCTGAAGTGAGCTGCCCAATAGTGGATGACATAGACAAATTGGCATACTAGAAAGTGGTGGGCATCTTGTAAAACCTCTACTTGGTCGTTATTACAGTGTGTGTGTGTGTGGCCTTCGATGAAAGTTCAATGCATTACCTAAATATACTAATGACTGACTGCATCCAGCCAGTGATACGAAGCACCCGTATGCGATTCCGAACCAAACAATCAGTCATCATCCCACTTCCAAAAGATACTGGACAACATTGTGGATTGACGAAGTGAAGGAAGTATTATACTATGCACTGAGTCAGGTGAGCGATTTGCCAACTATCAGCTGCTTCATTCGTCAGTATACTGACTACCGAATTATCAGAGTACTACTGGGTGGAGCTTTTGTTGCAATTTGTATACGACTAGAGTCAGGTCATACCCCTACTCATAGACACTTTAAATTCAATTTTCACCCGTTTCCCTGACCATTGAAGTTATTATGAGCTTATGCTGGCAAACACAGTACATTACAACAAACGTTTCCGATCATTCATATAGTGGAAGTATAACATAGGCGATTGGTCAACCCAGTTAATCCTCATGAATTTGAATGTGAGTTAAGCCCATTTGTCTAGAATTAATTTTGTTGGGATGGCTGCGAATCACTCAGGCGTAATGCGATTCGTTTTCTGTTCAGAAGTGCACGGTAAGAGAACTGATCATCACATACAGTCCAACCTACTTTGTGAAACAGTATGGAGTTCAAGGGCTCCATTGGATGCAATACTGGAGACAGAACTGATTAAATTATTCATGTACACCTCAGTACATTGACAAAGCATAAGTGGACGCACGAAAGCAATATGTGTGAAGCTGAATCTCCAGAAGCGATATGGACAACAAATGTAGGGGATAACACACTGAACAAGTTGTTTTCATGCGTGTTGAGCAGAAAGCTTTATGAATTGTCTGAGTTCTTGCCTACCAGTGGTACTGCTTTTATCAGCCTTCACGTTTCACTCAAAGTCAGCACCAGTCGAGAAATATGTGGAAATCAGACGACACTGAAAAAGAAGTGTAGCTTGAACCCACGTCTGCTTTACTATGCTAGCACCTGAGTTTCAACACATAGTGTCAATACTTACAAACTCAACATGATAAACACAACATTATCACCAATCTGATGCCCTCAAAGTTTTGGTGTGCTGAGCCTTGATCTATATTCATTAGAAAAAAAGCTATAAGATGGTTAAATAGATTTGGATGACTTCAAAGATCTGATAGCTCATGGAAATTTTGCTTGAGATTACGATAATTTCCTACCTCCTCGAAAAGAGGTCTTTGTTCAAATTGACTGTAGATTCCTAATGAACAAATGATCAGATCGTTTTCTTTTGTGAAATGTATGGTTTAGACGAATGATGTCTCAGATGTGGCAAGTGAAGCTTGTTTTATTCGGTCTATTAATGATCAGTGAATTATCGTATACTGAGTCGTTGAGAAAGAGGATTGGCGGTAAGTAAACTATTATACATAAAATTGGTTTAAAACAGTGAAATAACTAATGCTTATTGTTTACATTAGGATGAAACTCATAATAACCACTTAGACATTATATGGATATCTTTGTAGGCTAGATCATCAGTCCACAACTAACTGTGAAACTAAACTTTCTTATCTACATTCCTCGCACCGTCATATGTTAATTTGTATACACTTCAGAGCAGGTGAGGATGTCTTCTGGTGGAACCTGGAAGTGTGCGGAAAGGAAGACTGAGTATTTATCAAATTAGGCCATTTACGATACTGACGAGGCATCTGAATGCTTGTTGAGTGTTAATTGATACAGATTAGTGCTGACGTTTGCTGTGAAACATGGGAATCAAATCGGAAAGACATGCGAAGCCTCCACCTACTTGACCAATACTGCATTCCTATTGGCACTCGAGTCTGATAGGATCGCCATGTGAGAAATGAAATGTGGAATGTATGCACACCGTATTAGGTAGAAAAGAGCAATTCAGTTAGTTTGGTCATGAGCCTAGGGTGGAAGGGTTGTGTGAACTATGGCAAAGTGGTGAAAAATAGAGGCACGAGAGGACAGAAACAAAATATGAAATTCATGTGCTTGTTGGCTGTTGGCCAAGAGTAGTATGATCTGTCTGCATAGGGTTCTTGAATCGATAGGAGTCAGTCTTAAGAAATTTGGAGATGCGGATCGAATTCGTTGAATGGTTCCATTACCCTTCATCTGTGAATTCTGTCTACTCCAATACACATTTTCCTTCTATTTAACCTTTATCTTTCCAATTCCACTTCACACTCTGCTGTCAGGTGTGGCGACTTGAACTGATGCACTTCCGTTGCAGTTCCTACTTTGATTTATCTACCTATCTACTCTGAGATATTTACAGAAGTGTGGACTGTCTGGGGAATCTCTGTACGAAATCGGAGAGGGAAGATGACATACTCATCGATTTAGTTAAGTGTGGGTGACAGTGTAGCAGATGCGGCTCCACTAGCTTCCCAGCAAACTCACTTGAATATTTAAGTGGTAAATATTTATCTCCGGATTACTTCCTCACCACCAGTTTTCCCTAGGACAGATTGTGCGACCACTGTAATGAATATCTTCATTTCACAATGTTTTATCTTGATCTCCTCGTTGCGATGATTTGATAAGAAGAACATCTTGTTGCACCAACAATCTACTAAGACACACTGTAAGCTCTTGGTAAATTCCTTTCGTATTCCATACTTTACAAGTGGATAGTAATGGTGACATCATTGATAAACATCACGTGGACGGATCATAATGTATATTAAATAACTGGAAAATGTAGTCATTGTTCACACATGGTTGTTCTTGTTGATGGTAGGAATCAGAACTAGTAGTTCTTCTAGAGGACTAGGTTAGCTGTCTTGCATATAATGAGTTGACGCTGAAACAGATAGAAATGATCTGGGATACCAGATATTTTGTTGCTTTTCGAGATAGACAGTAGAGTGATGTTTCCTATGAATGGTCAGCTGATGGGTCTACAAAATCCGTTGCAAAATGATAGTTCGTTAAATGTATCCTGTTAATCATATCCGTAAAATGTAAATTAAGAAGCATGCAGTTTCAAAGCACTTACTGTCCATCATATAACGAACGGCACTGCCTCTGCTCCTAAATTACGTCTATGTTGGAGCTGACACAGTATCCGTATAATTTCATCAATGATTAATGCAGGTTAAAATCCTGGAGAGGAATTTCATTTTTCCATCGTCACAGATACTTCAAACCGATGAGTATCAACAAGCGTAGAATGCAGGTCAGACGAGGGTTCGCTTACATTGACTGACACCAGACAGCAGAATACAGTGAGTAGTGATGTTGCATCGCTTAGCCTGGTGACTACATTGTAGACGAGCTCGACAGAATTGGAATAACCCATACGTGTTGGCAGCTACATCAGTTACTGACCAGTGACCAACTGGTTGACCTGAATGTTTGGTCATTCATTGACTTTAAACAAATCAGCGCCTTCTTTCTAAACTCAGACTGGCCTTTATGTTCATCCGGTGCAAATTTCCGGCAGACCGTATCTCATATTTTCATATCATATCACTGATGTGATTATGAGTTATAATTTGTGCCCAATGCGTCACCAAGTAAATAATACTGTATCACCGTGCGTCGTATATCAAATAAATAACTGGTTGACTAGTTCACTAGTTACAAGCCGGTCCTAAGCCTGGATAAACAGGGAAGGTTGGGCACACGGCTAGAAACCCTACTCCGTAAAACCAAACCAACTGCTAAACAAACTTCAAAGCACAAACGAAATATAAAAAAACATAAAAACAAAATTATTCCTAGCTGGAATCGGAGAGACGAAATTACACCGAATGGTGAAAGCCTTCGGGAAGCCAATCAGCCGACGTGTCTTCTCCCTCTCTCTCTCTCTCTCTCTCTCCCTGTCTCTCCCTCAATGAAAACAAAAGTAAGAATGGGGACATGGAATGTCCGCACCACGTTCGAACCCAGCAAGGCAGTCCACATTGCAAACGAGATGAGAAGGTATCACATTGAAATGCTTGGAATTTGCGAGAGCAGATAGAATGCGAGTGGACTCTGCAAACTTTGAACTGCAGAATCAATAATCTACTTCGATATTGTCACCCAGATGACAACCACGAGCACAATGAGTATCGGAGTGGCAATCATGCTGTCCCCAACAGCATCAATGGCTCTCTTTCTCTCATGCAGTGGGAACCAATCTCCTCCTGCAGGATCATAACGACAAGGTTCAACTGAAAAGGAAGGAAGGTCATCATCATGCAGTGCTACACAATGCACCTACAAATAATGCAGAAGAAGGGAAGAAGGAGGAATTCTACAGACAACTATAGTCAGCACTGGACAAGACCGCAGTTGGCGACATCAAAATTCTGATGGGTGGGGTGACATGAATGGGGAACTGGGTGTGGACAACACAGGAAGGGAACTAACCATGGGTCGAGAAGCGTTCGATGAGGTGATGAACGAGAAAGGAGAACTGTTTGCAGAATTCTGCGCTTTCAATGACTGGGTGTTTGGAGGCAGTGTGTACAAACACAAGGATATCCACGAAGCGACACGTAGTTGATTTCACCAGACACGAGGACACACTACACTGAAAATCAGATCGACTTCATCTGAATGTGAAGAAAGTGGAGATGCAGTCAGCCTACTGAACACAAGATCAGATGAAGAAGAGGAGTAGATGTAGGTTCACACTACTCACTATCTAGTGCAAGGAACCTACCTTCAAAATCAAGTTGAAAGCCTTCAAGGAATTTGGTGATAGACCACAGTTCAAGTTCAACACCCGGAAATTGAAGGATGAAACTACAAAAAAAATCTTCACGGCAGCCAGCCATCAAAACAAATGGGAAATATCGAGGATCATCCCTGAAGAGACCTGTGTGGAAGAACACTGGAAGTCTTTGAAAGAGATGTGGAAAGAAACCTGCACAACCGTATTAGGAAGGAAGAAGAAAGAAGATAATGAATGGATGTTGACGGACAAATGGAGGCTGATATAGCAGGGAGAGGAGGATAGTGATGGTGAAGAAGAAGATGAACCAGTCCAAGGATGAACGACGAGAAGAGGAACTGAGTACAATGTATAAAACATTACACTGGACAAAGAAGTGAAGAAGAGTGCACGGAATGACAAAAGACACTTCTCCGAAACACTGGCAAGTGATGCAGAACAGGCTGCAGGTAGGAGAGATAGAGACCTGACAGCATTGCATCAAATAACCAGGTTACTATCTGGGAGGGAAGAGATCAACACAGATGAAACCAATGAAAGATGGTGAAGGGAACCTAGCTACTGAAGGGAGTGTAGAAACAAAGGAAACGATGACTGACCACTTCAAGAAGCTCTTGAATCGACCACCACCACCACCACCACCTGCACTTCGTCCAGAAATACCACCTGCTGCCCAGCCACAGAACTACAAGTGAACATAAATCCTCCAACAAAAGTGGAAGTCGTGAACGCCATAAAGCTACTGAAATGCGGGAAAGCAGCAGGACCAGATGGAATCCTGCCAGAAACACTGAGAGGGGATGCAGAGACAACAGCGGACATGCTCACAGCACTATTGCAGAAGGTGTGGAAGGAAGAGAAGGTACCTGGCTAGTGATTGGAAGAAGGGTTACCTTGTCGAACTTCCGAAGAAGGTAGACCTCAGTGTTTGCAAGAACTGGCGTGGAATCACTCTCCTGTCCACCCCAAGTAAAATATTAAGCCGCATCATCCTGGATAGACTGAAGGATGCACTGGATTCAAAACTACGACCGGAACACGTTGGCTTGCTTGCTTGAGGAAGTACAAATCATGTGCAGACCAAATAGCAACGCTTCGCATCATCATATAACAGAGTATAGAATGGCAGTCAGCTCAACCCTACCTCAACTTTATCGACTTTGAGAAGGCCTTTAACAGTGTCGACCGAGAGGTAATTTGGAAACTGCTTCATTACTACGGAATACCGCAAACCTTTATCCGCCTCATTCAACAACTATATGAAGATGCCACATGCCATGTAATTCACAATGGGAAGCTCAGTGATGCATTTGAATTGAAGTGAAGACAGGAGTGAAACATGGCTGTCTACTATCAACCATGATCTTCGTGATTGTAGTCGACTAGACTAGATCATGCAGCAAACAGTGGGGAGTGAGAAGAGGGGGATACGCTGGAATGCGAAAGTGATCCTAGAAGATTTGGATTTCGCTGATGACTTGTGTCTAATATCTTGTGGCACAAACTCGAAGATCTACAGGTGAAAACTAACAAGTTGACAGAAGAGGCAGGCGACGAAGACGGGACTTCAAGTGAACGTAGAGAAGACAGAGGTGATGAAGATACCCAACCAACAACAACAAGCTCCAATCACGAACAACGGGAGAAACTTAAAGGAAGAAGCCTCTTTCACCTATAAAGGCAACACCGTTTCAACTACAGGTGGTGGTGGTGGCACAGACGACGACGTCAGAGTCAGGATCGGAAAAGCAAGATAGGTGTTCATTAGCCTGAAACCTGTGTGCAGATCTTCTGCTCTCAGCCAGCATAAAGCGTGAACAACATCCAGATTTTCAACACCAACGTCAATGAAATCAGTGTTTCTGTATGACTCAGAGACTTGGCGGGTTACGAGAGGCATTTCCAACAAACTACAGACATTCATCAACAGCTCCCACCTACGCTCACTCGATGCTGAAGATCAGATGGCCAGAATAATAAGAATAAGCAAGAAGGAACTCTGGCTGACTGGCTGCCTGGCTGGCTAGCAACGAAGCAACCAAGAAGCTATAGCTGAACAATTATGCAGAAGGAAGTGGAGATGGATTGGGTTGGGCATACAGTGAGAAGGCCGAATGGGGACATCACGCAGCAGGCCAGGCCGTCGAGTGGAAGCCAGATGGGAAGCGACGAGTTGGGCGTCCGTGGTGAGGGTGACATGGAGGAGATCTTGCGGGGAGGAAATGAGAGCTTGTGGGCTGTCGTGGAACCAGGTTTAAAAGTTTGCAGAGAAAGGGGGACTGGAGACGTGCTAATAAAGCCCTATGTTCCACTGGGAACCCAAGGGACAAATAATAATATAACAATAACAATATGGGATTACTACTACTACTACTACGGTACCCCAGTTCTACACATATTACCACAATGATGTAATCACCTAAATAAAAAGTATCTCAGCATTAAATGTTGTTTTCTGGATTTGCTGATGAGTAAATCACGATATCTTTTATTATTTTCAGGTCAAGCATATTTACCTTTCAAAGGGAAGACCTACTCTTTAAGTCCAGACTACACATTAACAATCGAGGAAGACGATTGCACAGAAACGGTTTCATTGAAACCACCAACTGAAAGAGAACTGAAGAGGAAGGCAGGATATCGTCAAGTGACAAGGTAAGTCATAAACAGCATTCATGAAATATTTGCATAAGAAGTGAGTAATGTTTTGTGTTTTAAACGACAATTTACAAGTATCAGACAAATCGTTCAACCGTATTAAGGAGGGACTCTCAACAATGTGCCACATTATACACTCAAGATCACAGTGATCAAAAGACACATCTCAATCTAACTATCTGACTGATTAAGTTATCACTATCTCAGAAGATCGAAGTTACCTGTATGGCGCAGGTGTCACATGCAAAAAGCTACAGTTGTCAAAGTGGGCATAAGACCGCATAGAAAGCAAATGTTCATATGGCATGTGAGACTAGGTGCAAATAATGATAAGTAAGGATTTTGTCAGCTTCAATTACCACACTTATTGAACTCTATAACTTCTCCTCATATTGGAAATAAACCATATTGCCTTTTACATACCAGTAACTCGGTTGCTTCAGAGAACCATCTGGTTCACTTCACTGACATTTTTGACTAGTATTATCGTGGACTATTTGCCCCTATCGTTAATCAATCATTCAGATGCAACAGTCGACCTGCATAATCAATTTCTCGAGGATCCCATGTGGTCCGAGTAGACTGTTGCATCACCGGACGACTGAGTCCACGGTGTCAACACTAGTCGCCTAAATCACTATGATTTAGACAAAATCCTAATTCAGAACATCAGCATTATTCTGAAAGTCTCATGCAGTGAAACCTCCTTCTCTGTCACCACAATTGATACGCGATTCGATTTAAGAGGAGAACTTGAGCGTCAACCTGGAATCTACTAAGGAGAAAGTGACCAATATAGTCAGTGAATATTTCGTATGACAAGTGAACTCCAAGTAAACATTTCAGGCCGTAACCTACATTGTGAGGGAGTAATTGAGGCTGTGATGCTTGTTGCCATTGAGAAGACTTTGCAATTATTGTGTATGCATATATTTCGAATTGGTTACTGGTGTGTGTGTGTGTCGTTGATAGCAGCTGTCTGTCACGATGCAGTCACGAAATAACACTACCATAAATGTTTGTGATAAGTGAACTGAAATACCAGATTGCATTCTTTCTTAATTTTCGAGAATTTCACTCTGATGAATCGTTAAGAAAATAGTCTGTTTTAATTGTGTGTTGACTGAGCTACATGGAGTTGCTAGTATCGGTCGACGAGCAGTCATGCAAACTGTCATTCGATGGGTGGAGTTGACAAAATTGTGGATTGAAGAGAGGTTCGGATGAACAGTGTCATGATTTCTGGTAGACAACGAAATGTGTAATCTGTCTGTTTTCGTTCATTTGTGTGAGATATTTTACACAGGTCCACGGGATATTGGCATATTTTCGAAATATCGATTAGGACATTCGAGTTGTTGTTTAGTACATACGATGATTGTATTCATTTTCTTTCCGTTTCATTTTCAGGCTCTGTTCAAGCTGGAGTAAGATAAAATGAGAATTATTTCTGTAAGATTGAAAAGTGGACAGATAAATGGTGAATATTGTGTGACGATTTCCAAAAAGCATCGCGTGTTTCTTTGTTGTGTAAATTAAAATCAATTAAACCTATTTTGTTCGAAGAGTATCTGTTAGTCACTCAATAGATTAGTCTACACAAATTTCTTTCTTCTAAATAAAGCTAAATACAATTGTTCTTTTATACTGAATTCCTGAAATGGGAGTAATCATTTCGTCTATATATATATAGGTTCGTGTCAACAAATCACCTAACGTGATGATCATGGTGACCAAACGTGAGAGACATTCTCTAGTCTGACCAGTGTCCTCCTAGGCTAAAAATCTCAGACACCTCGAATTAATCTGGTTTTCACTAATTAGGCTGCATTTTTACTAACCTACAACTGTGGATAATCGTTGTCACTAAGTCAACCACAGATGAGGAACATTTGGACAGCTCATGATAAATGTAACATAATCAACCTGAATTGTGTATCGCCTCAGCAGTCATCAGAAAGATGTTATGCTTTAAATCACTGCTTGCATATGATGCTTTTAGAAGGAAGCCATGTAACAAACATCAATTTGCACTTTTTGAGTAATAAATGACACTCTGCATCAATTTGAGAAGTGACTGTGTGAATTCTACTAGTGATATTTGGACGTGAGTTTCTGAAGCGGAGGTTTCGAAGACTCCCTCCATTCTCTGATTTCGATGGTCAGCTTTTCTGAGGAGCGTGAAATGCAGTGAGGTCTTGTTCATAGTGCTGACATAGAAACAGCCAACAGAGTATGTAAATGGCATTGTGTACGGTTGTATCAGCCTCAGATGAAAGACAGCTAAACCGTAGAAATTGGATATGAATCAAATTGAACAGAAAGGTCTACTGTGTAACAAAGAATGAACAACTCCCTCATCTTCAGTGCTTCACAGACACTGAAATGATCCACACAAATTTTGTGATTTTCACTCAGTCAAATATTGGTATTATTAAACACAAATCGAATTAGGAAAATTTGGATATTACATTGAGAGAGAAAAGGAGTTGGTAAACTTAAAATATGTTGGTTTGAATGGCTCAGCAAGGAGTGGAAAAGGTTTGCATGTACTGAATCCAGTAAACTCAAACAAACTATACTCGGATGAAATTTCATAAAGTGATCAAAATCAAGAATATACAGTGATGGTAGCGGAAAACACATTAAACCACTTGTATGATGGATCGCCTTACAGTTGGTTGACTACTACTAAATAATGGACTGTTCAGTCTTACCTGATATGACACAGGTCTTTCATAGTGAAGATGAATGAAGTCATGAAATGTGACTGTGCACAGGTACCTCCTAATCACATCAGCTCGAAACACAACATTCCGTGAATTTATCCAATATAATACCATCCATCTCACAATTTTCCAGAGGCTTAGCAGGAAGGGCACAACTTGTCAGTTGAAGTGACTCCAATGTTCCTCCGCAAACACAGTCGTATTTTAGAGATGTTCAACCGACTGAAATTCATTCTATTCGGAACGAGAAGACGAATAAAATTCTGTGTGAAGTGACAGGGCTTATAATATCTGAGCAAAATAATGCGACAGGAAATCTGATAATGTCGTATTTTAAACAAGCATATGAAAAGAGGAGTGAATGTAGGAAAAAAAGGAACGGGTGGACACTTTTATGCATAAAGTGAGGAAATCCAAGAGGGATCTAGTGCACCTAACGAAACCGTTTGATGGGGAGTCAGTCTGGTTTGATTTCATGCTGAAAACAAATAACCTTGATAGGATTTGTGATCAGGGTAGAAACATCCAAGCTTATGAGTTGTCTAGATATTCATCCATCGTAAGTAAGAGGCTTGATAAGAAACCATGCGAAATCTGGACTTACCAGCTCCCATTGTATAAAGCATAGATTAGATAATATACAGTCGAATGACAACGGAAAAGTGGTTAGTTTTGGTGTGATTTACCAACCAACATGGCCCTGGAGGCAATTCCAACTGCATTCATTGATGACCATGAGGATATCATGCTATGAATGCGATTATGTCTGAAGTCTACATTCTCCAAGTTTCAAAATAAAATATATGAACAAATGATTGGAGTTGCTATGGGATTACTGATATCCCCCATCGTCACGGGCATATACATGAATGGCTGGGAAAAGTCGGTCGTTGAAGCACTTTGTCCTCATCCAAACATACGGTTTCTATATGTAGACGACACATTTCTAGTATTGAAATCTCAGCAAATAAATAGCTTATATATCCACAAATTCGGTAGTGATTGCAGTTGACTTCATTCATGAAACAGGAGGTGGTGAAGGGGAATTAGCGATTCCATATTAGGCTGCTTATTTGATTTGTAACATACCGTGATACAGTATTATCTACTTGATGACGTTTCGGGCATAAATTATTGCTCACAATCATTTCATATCATATCATATCATATCACATTGATGCCCGAAACGTCATCATGTAAACAACACTGTATCACTGTGTGTTAGACGTCAAGTAAACAAATGTAATATGGAATGAAGTTCTAACACAGTAGCCAACTTTTGCGCTTATATCGAGGGAATTTACGGTGTTGACTCGCAGGATAGAACGGAAACAAGATGGAAGTTTAGAGATCAATGTCTGCAAGAAACTCTCTCCTTCGGATTGCGGCTCAGACTTCACACCATATTTCCCGATGTCATTTACAGTGAGCATAGTTGAATGTCTGAATAAGAGATGTAAACAGCCTTCTGGTAGGATGGAAAATCTGGGACAAGGAGCTAGCCACATTAGGGATGCTTGATGTTTCACTAATTACACACCTGAGGTTTTAAACAGTTAGAGCAATGGTGGTAACACAGATGTCTACAATAATATTTACAACATGGATAACAGCAAAAATAATACTGATATTGATGATAGAATTAGTTGAAGTGTTAGTAGGAGAAATGATAATAATGGTGACGCTGTGGGGAGTGAATTCGAAATCTGTCCTGTGTCACCATACAGGGAAGTCACCTCAGCGACTACATGAGATTCCGAATAAGGGTGGGACCAGATTGGGATTTGAACCTGAAAACTGACTTCGAAACAAGCTATCCAAATTAAAGGATCTCACAGATGCAATGATGATAACATCGAACAAATAGTTGAAAGTAGATAACCAGGGTCAATCAGTGTGTCTGAGGGCGAAGGCCTGACTAAATCAAGATTGGTAGACCCGAATACAATAAGGAATCTAGAAAAATAGCTTGATCGTTTGTCATATCCTTGTGGTGACTACTTGGTATAACCCAAATTACATGGATGGTTGAAGAATAACCTTCAGACTCCACGCCTTGATGGTCACTCAGTTTCGCGATAAGTGGAAGAAGGCGTTGAGATGACAGTAGGTGTATTGCGACGTCAAACATGTGTTCAAAATATAAGAGTAGTGCCTTGGCTATTCCAGACCTTTATATATTTGAATGTCATATTGATTTTTGTGTCTTCAATCAATCCGAAATTTACACGTTGCTTCACGTGCAACTTTCCGAGACTCGGAAGCAAAACGATACGTTGTGAAAGGCTTCAAGTGTTCACGGCTGCTTACGAGGATTTTCGTAACCTAATTCCACACTATTTATGCAACTGCATCCAACCACACAATAGGGTGAGATGGAACAGCAGTATTGAAAAATATCTTTATGAGTGGTGTGGGAGATTGCTAACCGATTCTATGTATGTCGAATCGATACCGAAGACATACACTGGCAATGATTATATACCAGTTCCAGATAAGTGGAAAATTCTACCACCCCTGTCACAGGGGAGGAGAGGGAATCAGAATCACACAAACTATGTCTCAAACCTTTGAAGTTACCAGATAGGAATATGGACAATAAATTGTAGCTCACTGATAATAACTAAGGATAATATTGTTTTGCTTATGTGACACAACAAATAAAATGAACCAAAACAAAATTACAACTGTTATAGTGCCCGAATTTCACTCCCTTTTATCTTCCTGTATTCCGAAATTTCATATTGCTTGACTCATCGTGTTACTGGAAGATGATGACACAAGATATATGTGAAATGTCTTCGGCGGTAGTTAAGGGTTTCTGTGAGAGTTTGCTGCCCAAGGAAACAGTTTGAAGAAAAAAAATCACTTTGAATTTGATAGTCAAGCAGATAAATAAGTGCAGCGAAACCCAACTAAATCTTTGTCAGAATATAAAATATCCGATTGATACTTATACGTTCTTAGTGTTGTTTCGAATGATACTCTCATATCCTTGACTTATTCTCAGACCCACAAGTGACTTCAAAACCTACTGTGGGCCAGAATTTCACTCAGATATCTTTGATACATACAAACACTGAATTTTTACGAACTTTTGTCAAACTCAATAAAAGATATGGTGGATCAACAGCCACTTTCTTAAAACGAACTCCAACGAAACTAGCCTCGGAAAGTGACTGATAGTCAGTGGCCTCATACTTTTGTAAAAACTTGAAACCATTTGAAGGGGTTAGTTGTCATACGAATGCATCAAAATCACTTCTAAAGTCACGTGCAAAGTGTTGGTTTACTGGAATTCATCACATCTCTGTATTGTCGAGGATAATGATGTCGTCATCTAAAAAAGTAAGAGGTCTATTTGAATAAGTGATAACCGCTGCCTTGATGTGATGGTCTGGCTGGTGTATGTGACAGTGACCCGTTGAGCTATGCTGATGGAACGCTTGTTTCCTCGAAATTCTACCATGTCGGAGAGGTCTGTTGAGTAGTGATAAGACAAATAGCATTTTCCGTTTTAGTGTAAGTCACTACACTATGATGGGGATTTAATGGCGAAGTTCTACTGCTGGTTGGAAGAGATGTGACAGGAGTAAGGAAATCACCTTGGATGATCATCACCACCAAAATAATGCTGCCTTCTATGCGTGAAGCGAAGGAAGATCAGAAAAGGTTGTCCCTGAAAACAGCATACTCTCCACTAACCCGCTGT